CCCCCCCCCCCCCATCCCATCCCAACCCATCACATCCCTAGCCACTGTTCGACCCCCACAGGTGGATAACGATGATGAAATTGAAAGATAAAAAAAGATCGATATGAACGACCGCACGAGCAATGACATCGGCGAGCTCTGCTCTCGTTAAACTGGTACAGTTCCTTCGCGTTCTTTTTCCTGTTGTCGCACAGCAACAGCTGCTTCGACCAGCAAGTAAAGACACTTGAACTTGTCTTTGTCTTCCTCCGGTGGCGTCGGTGGCGGAGTCTCGTCCGTGTGTGGACTATGAGCGTTATGAGTACTGTATACTTCCGTTTCGTGCTGCACGTCGGGAGTTTGGATCAAATGCTGTCTAGGAGCACTCCAATACGGAGCATCGTTCGTCATCGAGGATTCATCGTCGTCTCTGGAAACGATCATGGTAGTATTAGAAAAAGGCATAGAGGCATAGAGGTGTGGGAGCGTAGAGGCGTAGAGGCGTAGAGGCGTAGAGATAGAGAGGTATAGAGGTATAGAGGTATAGAGGCGAGAAAAATACGGAACAACGTCGGCGCATCGTCCTCAATAAATTTTACCCTCGTCGCGCAGGATGGGCGATCGTTTCCTCGTAAGTACCCAGCTGAGCAACGTTTTGCTCGATCTTCGTTTCCGAATAAGGATAAACTATCACGCTAGGCCATTGCGTCGTCGGACGTTCTTCTTCGCTGTGCGAACTGCTCTCGTAATCGTTCGGACTATCCTCCTCGCTTCTGAAAAAATCCAATCACCCATCAACTCGAATGCTTTTCTATTCGAAGAAATAGAAATTTATATTATCGTCGCGTAATATAACCTCGTGGAGGGAGGGAGAGAGAGAGAGAGAGAGAGAGAGGGGGGGAGAGAGAGAGAGGGAGAGAGTCTACGAGGCTGTACGCGTACACGAATACGAAAACGAGCAAACGATCGCTACAAACCGATACATTAATCCGGTAGGATCTTCGTAGTCGTGGTCCCTGCTACGTTTTGGGGCGCTCATACCAGCCAACGTGTCCCAGTTTTGATTGGTTCTCGAGCTAAGGCTGGACGATTGTTGATGACTTCCAGCAGGCATTTTCTTGCCGCGTCGCGAAATCGTGTACTGCAGAGGATCGTGTCCCTCCCTTCGTATCATTTCCGGCAAAATTCGTCGTCTAGCATTTATGAACCAATTGCACACCTGTACAAACATACAAACACGATCGACTTTTATATTTCGTACCGCTCGTGCCTAGTGCGCGCGCGATGTATGCTCGCGTAGCGCGCGTCGATCGGTGGGTAAAGCAACGCACGATATATCGGCAAAATACCGACCTGTAACACCGTGAGGTTCGCTTCTTGACTCAGCGTCAACTTTTCGCTGTCGCTCGGATAAGCATTGTATCTGTGTTCGTAAAGCCAACGCTTCAAAATTTTCACCGAATGTTTCGGCAAGTTTCCTCGACGTTTCCTCACGGAATGAGCACCCGAATGATGAAGTATTCCAGAGTGAACTTTTCCGCGCAACGCGTTCGAATCCTGTTCCGTATCGGAGCCGCTTTGATCGTCGTCCGTACTGCTCGACGAGGGGAAGCGTTCTCTCGCTGAAAGCAACAACAAAAACCATCTGTACACGATACACGATACACGATACACGATACACGCGTATAATATCTAGGTGCGACAGAAATGATCCGACCAACGGGTGAGAAAGAAGATCGAAGAGTCGAGACGATTTTTCATAGCGAAATCGACGCTAACCGCGTCGCGCGGCCACGTTCGGGCTCGATTCGGACGCTCGAACTCGGTAGCAGAGTACGCGCGTAGTTCGAATCGAGTCCGCCGACAGAGGCGCGTAGGCCGATTCTCTTTCTCTGCACCCGACTCTACCGCGTTTCGCAGGGATCGCGCGCGATATCGTTGTTATCCGCGCTCTTCTCGATCCAACCCTAATCCGCCCCGCTATTACCGGATACCAGCGTATCCGTTGCATCCAGTACCAAACATCGCCTCGTACGTACGATACAACCTTGAAATTACCGGTTACCAGTTGTCTTCTCAACGGAAGAAGACAACGCGTCTTTGTTCGAACAGTTTGATTTCGAAGTTGTACTTTCGCTACCTTTGCTCCAGGCTTTTACATCAGGCAATACCAATTTCGAACCAACGTAAGGGGGAAAATCCACCGTCTTTACGGTTCAACTTTTATAAACCTCGAAACTGGATTCGACCTCTCGGATACAGCGTGTCGCTTATATTTCATCCTCTCGTTCGGTAACGTAACTTAACGTAACGTAACGTAACGTAACGTAACGCGACGCGACGCGACGTAACGTAACAGCAACAACGCGGTAGCAATAGCATGCGACGGACGGAACAGCCGGACAGAAGCATGCGATAGCAACGACCGATAATTAATATTTTCTAAAATATCAGAAAATAATATTTTCGAAGCCCGAATCGACGGTTCTGGTTAGTTCGTATCGTCGACTAATCTTAGCACTCGAGTTTGTAGTTACGTAAGGTCCAGTAACCCGACGGTATAAAATTAGGACTCAAGCTCGACGCGGCTAGACGAAAACTATGTGTCACGACGACGGCAGTGATCGCAGCAACGTCCACCGTGCTCGAGAAAGGAACATCTACGAAGCGTTATGGATTCGAAGAGCGATCGAACTAACCGGCAACAACGAAGAAATGAAATGAAATGAAATGAAATGAAATGAAATGAAATGAAATGAAATGAAATGAAATGAAATGAAATGAAATAACCGAACAAAGAAAGAGAAACAGACAGCACCGCCACCTTAGCATTGTCCGTGCACGGCTTCTTCCATCGAGCTATAAATATATGTACAACGAGCTGCCAGCATGTTCGCTAACTAATGCTACGCGTACGCTAACAGCGGTCTTCTATCCGACAAACGAACCTCACTTTTTTCGGACGATCGACTCGCACGAGGTTCGAATCGAAACCATCGTATAACCGGGATATATCCGTTCGGATTCGACGGTCCAAAACTACCGAGCCGAATATTTACACATATCGCGTATCGCGCGTTCGACGATAATCCGGAGGTTGGAAATCGCGTAGAATAATGCGGTAAAATAGCGGCGTCGTTGTACCGTTTAACGTCGAAAATGGTACCGTTCGAGATCTTATTCGATAATTTGTCATTCTTAATCCGGTATCGCATAGGTACGCGAAGATATTTACGGACAGGAAGGTTGTACCATCTACCGTAAAAGCGCACCCCGTGCATCGACTGTCGGCGACCTGTAACACGTTTGGACGATTTCCAAAAGACCGGCGTAGCGCAACGGACGTTAATTGGTAGCGTCTTAGCCGCGTTCGAAAATACTGCCAAGACTTCTGACTTTAGGATTTTTCGCCATCGCCGTACGATCCAGGATACGAAATCCAGGATACGGAATCCAAGATGCGGAATCCAGGATCCATGGTCAACGTGCTACAACTTTATAGACAATGGAAACGGAAGAGGTAGAAACGAAGAAGGGGGCCCCGGAAAATCCGAGTACGCGTACGTCGGATAAAAAAACAATAAAAAACGAAAGAAACCCGACGCGATTAACCTTCGTGACATCTATTTGCGTACGCAACGTCTCGCGTATTTTGCATCGAATACATCGATTACGCGCGTTAAGCGGAAATACATATGCAACGTCCATATACAGCCAACGAATTTGATTCGCGTCGGTCGTTTCGCATCGTTCCTCAAGCAGCGTCTCTAGAAATTTTCGCGAGACTGGAACAAGATCCGCGTTGGAAAGCGCGCGCGTTTTCGACTGGCGTCGTTCTTTCCATTTGGATCTTCCCGCTCCCGTTACACGATCAAATCAAATTTTGCGGCTCCGCTCTCGCGCTGCCTTCGAGATCCCGGCGCACGTTCCAAGTTCTAAATTCTACATTCTAAAAGAGACCTATCCCTTAAATTCATCCTCTAACCGGTGTATCGGCACGCGCGTACGATAGCCGAGCTAGCTTTTTTCATCGTACTCTTCTCTGCACCTTCTCGTCGTTATCCTTTCGCGGGTTCATCGTACAAGTTATTAAACTCCAACGAGCAAGGGACGAGAGACGAGAGACGAGAGACTTCGCGATCCGCCGAGTGCTCTGCACCGCGTGGCGTCGAAAGTGCTCGACGCCCGGACGTCTTTCCGTTTTCAATGTTATCTTTATTCGATGATCCTGAAGCGAAAATCAACGAATCCGTAGCACGTTGTTTCGATCCATCCAACGATTCTCCAGTGTCGAACACCGTCGCGAACCACTCGCGACTAAACCTCCTTTCGAGAGCTGAAACTATTTTCGTCGTAGAACAGGTACGAGATGAAATTGAGAGAGAGAGAGAGAGAGAGAGAGAGAGAGAGAGAGAGAGAGAGAGAGAATAATGCGAGTCACGCGGTAACCGAGTAAGATGTTTCGTACGGTTTTTTATCCTTTTGCAAAACGAACGACCGACGGCGCTCGTTCCGTCGCGTACGCGCGTCTACGCGAGAGAAAGAGATCGAGAGGGGAGATGGGTGCCGGTTGCGCAACAGGCACGATTTTCCATGCCAAGTCTACGTTGGTCGCGGACGACGAATCTCGAAGCGATCGTTCCGTTTTAGCCCCGATAAAAGGAAAAATAATACCGCAGCATTTAACGCTGAAATTACTAATCGCGCGCGCGCTCGCGGCAACTGTCGCAAATCGTCGTAAGATTCGTCAATTTTTGGATCGATACGGAACGATCGTTATCGTCACCGCGTTATCGTCGTCATCGTCGTCGTTGTCGTCGTCGTCCTTACCTGCTGTAAACATATTTATAAGTTGAGACGAAGACGAATTATCGTTGGACAGTAACGTTGGCGAGGGTAACGACGATGCGATACGGCGACAGTCCGAGTTTCGCGAACGACGGTGACAACGTTGTTGCCGATAATCGTTTCGACGATCGCGCCGATGATGTTTGCGTCGACGATGGTGGTGACGGCGACGGTGGTAACGGTGACGCCGGCGACAGTCGTTGTCGCGATTACGACGAGGACGACGACGACAACGTCGACGATCTTCCTGCTTCGGTGGACGTCGACGACGATGACGTTGATCGGGATAACAAAGGTTACGATGCCGATGCTGATATCGCTCTTGTGTACCTGCAATCTTCTCGGCGCTGGACTTTTGTTCCAAACGCATAGCCACTGGTAGCAGCATGGCACTACGCTCGTCGTATTCTCATATTCCCGTCTTTTCGTATTCTCGTATTCTCGTATTCTCGTATTCTCGTATTCTCGTATTCTCGTATTCTCGTATTCTCGTATTCTCGAGAAGCGAGGTCGCGAGGCGAGATACGATAGGCGACGCGCGAGGGCCGTCCAAATATTTCGATAACTGATTCGATCACCTTTCCGCGTTCGATTCGATCCCGAACATTTTCTTCGTTCGTTTCACGACTCTCGCGAGACGAAACGAGTCGCGTCCGTTCGATCGTCGCGGTTACGGTTTTCTTCTTCCCTTTCCTCCGTCTCCGGTCCCCGAAACACATCGAGTATTCCTTCTTTCATCGTTTCGTTTCGTTTCGATTTCAAACGAATTGTTCGTTTCGAGTCGACGTCTCGCGGATATCGCGTCGGAGTTTCGAAGATTCGACGATCGGAAACTATTGCTAATTCCTCCTCGCCGACAGCTGCCGACGACGTCGTTTCGTTCCCGATGCGCGCGCGTCAACTTCGATATCGCTCCGTCGACATCGATAACTCGTATCGATACCGTGCGCGATGCCGTACCCGGAGTACGTTCTTTCGCGTTCGACGAACGCGCCCCGAGTATCGTTCGCTCTTCTCCTAGACACGATCGACGTTGTTTCGAAACGTTCGGTCTTCCTATCGTCGAACTTTGACGAACACCTCTTACAATTGCAAAGTGCTTCGTTCGTTTTTCAAGCGCGACGATCGTACCTCGACGCACCGACTATTCTCCGTCTCTCTTCCGATATTCGTAATAACGATAACGATAACAATAGCAACGATAAAAAGAACAAACAAGAAAGGAATCGGCTGGAAGAAAAGAGAGAGAGAGAGAAATATGTAAGTTTCTGTTCTTTTACAGCGGAGAGATCACACTCGGTTCACTTCTAGACATCTGCGATAACTGAAAATTGCTAAGAGAAGAAGCAAGAATGTACGTATGTATGTATGCATGTATGTACGTATGTATATACATATATCTCTCGTCATTCGCGTTTACATACGAAATTACATTCGAAACCGATCGAAGTCCATCGCACGACGTTCAAAACGCGACTAAGCCGACCATGTTCGGAAGCCGGCTTGACAGAGCTCTGACAAGAAGAACGAGAAGACGAGGAGGAGACAAATACGAGAACGAGTGCACGCGTGCAAAACGAAGACGGGGAAGGCACGATAAGCTCGCGCGTCGAGCCGCGCGAGTCCACTTCCCGCTTGCAGCTTGGTTGGAAGGCGACTACCATCCATCTCTCTCTCTCTCTCTCTCTCTCTCTCTCTCTCTCTCTCTCTCTCTCTCTCTCNCTCTCTCTCTCTCTCTCTCTCTCTCTCTCTCTCGTTCCCTCGCTGTCTCGTAACCCTTCCCTTTGCGTCTTTCCTGCCATTTAGACTCGATCGTCGCGCCGAGACCCGTTGGCCCGTTGTCCCAGTAACGATAACGATAGCTTCGCACCCTCACTCTTCTACCGATTCTATCCCTTCTTTGTACAGATAGTCAGCTTTTTGGCGGGAAACGCGTTACACGGCGAGCCACCTCCGAATTCCATGTTCCTCGACTTTCGAGAGACACGCGTATCCGGATTTCGACGAAACGTAATATTTTCTCGAAAGAACGTTTCGCACGGGTTGGTCGGTCGTGTGAAAAGCCTCGAACGAAAGCCTCGCGCACGAGTTTATCGTATCGGTATACGTACGTATACGTTCGTACCATGGGAAGCGATACGATACGAGAGAAGCGATAACACGGAAGATAACGCCGAGAGATCGAGCATTATCTAGGAACGGAAAAAGCAGGCGCGTTAAGATCGAGCGATCAGGAAAGGCGCCGAAGCAAAGACGTGTCCCTTCGAATTTTCCTCTCGGTCGCATTTTACATCGACGTTCGCCCAACCACCGACGAAAACGGCGAACGGCGAACGGCGAACGGCGAACGGCGAACGATAAACTTTTCGAAAAAACTATCCGAATAACTTTTCTTTTCCAAGCGGGTAAAAGAGAATAGAATGCGCCCCGATAACAATTTCAGCGAGATAAATATGTTCTTCCCTTTTTCGCGCGTTTCTTCTCTCTTTATCCTGCTCTCGAACGTGTTCAACGTTCGAGCGAGAGAGAGAGAGAGAGAGAGAGAGAGAGAGGGAGAGAGAGAGAGAGACAGAGAGCGTACTCTACATTTTTTATCCAATCCGTGAAACCTATGTTCCGCGTTAGTTTCGATAAACGATTCGACGGATAAGGTGTGTTACCAGCTTGCTCGCACGCGTATACGTCGACGCGCGTGCATCGACGCGTTCTACAAATTCTATAAGAAAAGCACCGTGATTCTCGGTAACGTACTTTCGCTTTCATTCGTTATCCGTTGCCGTTACGCGTACGCGTCGTACATCCTCTCGACGCGAAACAACCGCGTTTCTCTCTTTTAAACACTTTATCTTTCGAATGAAATTCGACCGCGTGGAACGATTTGTAAAACGTAACGAACGAAAACGTTGTCGGGCGGCGTGTCAACGATCTACGCGGCTTTTCACCACGGAGAAAAACGAGCGGGTTATCGCGCATCCGTACAAGGAAGCTACCGCTACTGCCGCGAGCACGAGCGGTAACTCGCGCGCGGTTCCTAAGAAATTCATCAAAATAGACGAACCTAGGAGCGAACCAAGAAACGAACGAAAATCGGTAAAACTCGACTCGCATAGTTTCGCGATCGACGTGTCGCGTCGGCTCGCGAGATCCGTGTTTCGAGCACGATTTCATCTCGAACCGAACGACGAACGACTACTCTCTACCCTTTTATTTTCCATTTCAAAGACTCGGTAATACGCGTTACGTTGTTCCAGCGAGTTGGTACAGACGAAACGCGTACAACAATGTGTACTCTTGCTCGTTCGTCTAGCTTTTTCTCCATCGAAATTGGACCGTTCAACGACATTTCGAACTCGTCGAGAATCGTTTAGCGACTCGTCTCTAAGTACTTTGCGAGTACGTATCCGTTAGATTCTTTAAGGCCTGGTCGGTTTAAACGAACACCGCTGTATCGTTCTTGCGGCCGATCGACAAATTTGTATCTCTTATTAGCTATCCACCGCTATCTATTCCGACTCCTAATACTATGTACGTACGCGTATAACTAAAACGAACCGAGTCGGTAGAAAGCTGCCTCGATCGCGTCGCATCCCATGGCTCTTCTTCGAACGTATCGTATCCCGTTCGTTCGTTCGTTCGTTCGAACGAACGCGTTCGCTTTGCCATCGTCGAAATTTCTACCAAGGAAAATAATTCAACATCTAAAAGTCTGGAAGCCTAAAAATCTTGGAGGAGCGTACGGCACGGTCGTAGAACTCTGAGAGAACGGCGGCGGAACAACTTGGATCGGATCGGAGACTCGTTATCGATTCGTATCGAGAGTCGCGGCTCGATCGCGGAATGTTCGTTTCGTAGGGGTGTTTCGGAAGCAAAGAAGAGGCAGGCAGCAGGGCAGCGGGCTTCGAATCGTCGTCGGCGCGCAAAGAAACATCGAATCGAGAGGGGAGGAACATTCCTCGTAGGTCAGCGCATAGAACGATTTTAGCTACAGTCTTCGAGCTGGCCGTGTCCCGCGTTGCTTCGCGGCCAACCCGTGTCAAGAATCGTTCGATTTCTCGACAAAGGTCCGCGCGCGTACTCGCTCTTTTCATTATGGAACTTCCCTTCTTCGATTCTTCCCCATCCTCGGTTTTCACAATTTCCATCGTCTCGACCGTGGACGAGCCGCAACAGTATCTTTCGTTTCCCAATACGTATACGCGTATCCTACTTATTGGTCATTTTTACTCCGCGTCTCCGCTCGCCGCATTTACGATAGCCTTTAAGGTCTCGCGTCATCGATACGATAACCTCGAACACCGAATAAATAACCTAGAGAAAGAAAGGGCTAAAGATAACAGTTGCCGGTTCTCGGCACGCGCGGCACCAGCAGCCCGTCTCTCTCCCTCTCCCCCCCCCCCCCCCCCCCCCCCCCCCCCCCCCCCCCCCCCCCCCCCCCCCCCCCCCCCCCCCCCCCCCCCCCCCCCCCCCCCCCCCCCCCCCCCCCCCCCCCCCCCCCCCCCCCCCCCCCCCCCCCCCCCCCCCCCCCCCCCCCCCCCCCCCCCCCCCCCCCCCCCCCCCCCCCCCCCCCCCCCCCCCCCCCCCCCCCCCCCCCCCCCCCCCCCCCCCCCCCCCCCCCCCCCCCCCCCCCCCCCCCCCCCCCCCCCCCCCCCCCCCCCCCCCCCCCCCCCCCCCCCCCCCCCCCCCCCCCCCCCCCCCCCCCCCCCCCCCCCCCCCCCCCCCCCCCCCCCCCCCCCCCCCCCCCCCCCCCCCCCCCCCCCCCCCCCCCCCCCCCCCCCCCCCCCCCCCCCCCCCCCCCCCCCCCCCCCCCCCCCCCCCCCCCCCCCCCCCCCCCCCCCCCCCCCCCCCCCCCCCCCCCCCCCCCCCCCCCCCCCCCCCCCCCCCCCCCCCCCCCCCCCCCCCCCCCCCCCCCCCCCCCTCTCTCTCTCTCTCTCTCTCTCTCTCCCCCGATCGGTAACCAACCGCGTAATCGTCGAATCGCTCGCATTATTCGTACGATCGATCCGATCGTATCTCGTTTTTCGTTCGAATTTTCACGCGACATCGAACCAGCCCGTTCGATGGAAAAACCAAAAATTCTCTCGGAAGATATCGGACACGATCGCGCGGTGTTCGACGGAGACGAATCGTAGTCTCGAATAGTCGATGAGAATTTGCCGCTATCGGTTACGTAATCGAGTCAAGATTACATTGACAGGATTTACCAGCATTTTACAAAACACGTTTTCCATCATTTTCAACGTGCTCGCTCACCGATTTATTTCCTCTCCGTATTTTCTCCACCTTTATATATCTCTTTTCGCTTTTCGCTCGATCCCATCTCATCCAAACTTGTGCCATTCCACCTCGTCTCGCTTCTATCTCCCCTGTGCTCTGCTCTGCTCCCCTCTGCTCTCCTCTCCTCTCCTCTCCTCTCCTCTCCTCTCCTCTCTGCTCTTCTCGGCTCAATTTCGTCATACGCCGCGGCGCTCGCATCTTTCTCTCTAGTTCGAAACAATTATGTACCGGGTTTACGCAACCAACGAAATAGCCGATTCTCATTCTCCGATTAATAACGGTGATATCGCGTCGAGTATTTTCCAAAATTCATTTTACGAATTACCATCGGCAAGATGAAACTGAATCGAATACACCCGATATACGATGCAATTTAAACGACTGATAGCCAAACGAGCAACTACTTTCGAATTCACCGAAATTAAATGAAAATCTTTCGCAACGATCGAAATCATCGAAATAATCGAAATAATCGGGATGATCGAAAGAATCGAAATAATATCGTAACGATAATTATCGACGTTGCTTGTATTACACGAACTTGCTGGTAACTCGATTATTACTATTATTAGGAGTGTTACACAATACCGTCGTCGGGTCTTTACAAACGAGTTTCACTGGCCATTGACCAAAGCTAGATAACGTCGTGTATCGCGACCCATTTACCGACTTGCTAATCTTGGACTCTAATCCGAACTTGATTTTCCCCTTGTTATTCCAACCAAACGTTTTCTCATTCATACGATGCGCGCGCGCGCGCGCCCGCCCGGCCACCGTGTATCGTCTCGGTCGTCGCTGCATATCCGTGTACGTACGCGTCCGTCTCTCCGTGTTTTCTCGTCTACACGTGCGTATGTACATACGTGTATCGGTAGATGCGATATCGCCAAGAATTTCACAAATTATGTTCAATGTCGACTATCTTGCGATCGTACGTTTTAAGCTACGTGTAACGTAAACAAAACGGAACGTACGCAACGTTTCACCCTATCACGTTGTTCCGACAAAATACAACAATTCCGCGCATTCGATGCGTACACGTTCGACAAAAATCATACGACAAAACGAATAGATCACACTCGCATGCTTCCATTAAACCGATTCTACGATCTTTATCTCGTTTGTTACGTAAGCCTAATGCAAATACCGTACGAATATATTTGTGACTTTAACATTTATTTAATCATCTTATAAAAACTCTCAACAATATCGATATCGTTCGCATCAACTTGTTTATTACCTATTCGCTTGTTAACCATCCACCACGGTCGGTAGACAAAAATCTCTACGATGCGCGCATTATTTATATATATATTCAAGTGAACGCGTTGCAATAGGTACGCATGTACGCGAAACGATCGGACCGCGGCACACACCGGCACAACCGAGCCGAACACGAAATCGAGGAAACCCGTGTAAAACCAAATCTACCGAGTAGACCAGAGCAAACTGACGGACGAATAAGCGAGTAAGCGAATAACCGTGTAAGCGAGTAAGCGAATAAGCGCGTAAGCAGGTAGAGGCGAGTAGGCGAGTAAGCATGCTAGCAAACAAGCATGGAAGGCATGACGGAAAAAGCAGAATGACAGTTGGTAATTATAACGAGGAGCGGATTCCGTGGAGCGAGACCAGTGAACCCCGTACAAGTAACCAAGTCCGCGCCGTGCCGCGCCACCACGTGCCTCGCCAGATAGCTAGCTCGCGTGTTGACTCGATCGCCACGCGCTGTACCATCGTAGATGATGGCGTCTCACGATACAATTCTCAATCTATTACAAATATATCGCGACGTCTAATATCCTCCGCAGAACATTTCTATGTCTATCTCGATTTCTTTCCTAGAATTCCTACAATTCCTACAATGCCTACAATTCCTAGAATTCGTCTTGCGATTATCAATTATAAACTAATTATTCCATCTATTTTTGCTTACCAATCCGGTGGTCCATAGCGATTCAATCGGAACAAGCAATCTTCTTCTTCTTCTTCTTTTTCTAGATCGGATATGTTTACTCGGTACTGGAACAACTGTCAAAAAGAGAGCATCTTGTTAAACACAAAGCACAAAATACACTGCTCTCTCTCTCTCTCTCTCTCGATCACGATTAAAAATTACCCGGCACGTGCAACAACGGTCGAGCATACCTTGCATACAACTAACCAATTACTCTCGTATGTATACGCGCCCAAGTCGGGGAAAAAAGAAGAAGAAAACAAGGATACGAACATCGACCGACAATTTCGTGGAGACGCCTTGCACGTACGCGGCGGAAGAATTGCATGGTCATGAAATCTGCAACGTTCGCGCCAAACAAACTAACCAATTCGATTTTTACAGAGTACGAACGTATCGAGACGCATGCCCGACCGATCAATCGAAAGCATTGTTAAAACACGCGACACACACTCTGTATCCCGATCCACGTTATTATTATTAAACAGTTGATCGCACGACGAGATTTCGCGGCTTCTTTTCCTTCTCTCTCACGTTTTCTTCTCGACTCGGTAGATTCGTCGTTCGACAACTCACCGGCGTATCTCTCTGTAGTTTTCTTATGTTTCATTCGCTCGTACCGTAGCTTTTTCTACTCGAATTCTTTCTCGTTCGAAGAAATTTCTTGATCTTTCTGACAGATAAACACTACAAATGCGGCGGGTTCTTGTGTCGTGTGCGCCAGCGTCAGTAAGATTGACAGTCGGCGCTGATGACAGACAGGTGCGCCCGCCTTCCGGCCTAACAAGTCGGCAACCTACCGTCGTGCTAGCGTATCTTTTTCTGTCGCTAGCACACTCGCCTGCCCGCCAAGCTACTTCATACGGCCCTTGTTGTGTACCATTCGCTCCTCCGTTTAATATATTCCTGCCATCTAGCGACGATACGCGTCAAATATTTATCCCCGATACGTTTATGTACATACGTTTCCCTAATCTTATGCTTCGTTATGCGCCGTCACATTCCGTTCTATTCGCTTCGAATTCTTCTTGCTTTTTCGATATCGGAACCATGCGATATCGAATTTTATCTTCTCCCGGATCGTTCAAAGTTTTTAACGATTTTTCAAAACCCATTCCAATGTAACATCGCGATGTACAATGCACATGTGTACACACGATGCACATGATACACGTCTATGCGTGTGTCGACAAACTTTAAGGGAAACAGAAAAATACATAAAATACATATTTTATAATTGTACAATTTCATTTTATTTCATCGATACATTCAATGTTCTACATCAAACTATCTTCCCTACGTATAATTATTGAACGCGTCGCATGCGCACGATATCTACTATATCTAATTTTTAAATTTCTTTCCAATGTAATCTGTACGTATAGTTGGCAAGTAATCAGCTTCTTTCCCATCTTTTTCTCGCTTTTCTTGCTCTTTCATTATAAGTTGTAGCCGTCTTCTCTGTTTCAATCCGTATATGCATTCCAATAAATCTTCGTAGTAGCCATTACACTTTGTCTGCGCCTTATAAGAGCCATAGGCATCGCAGCACTTTACAAAACGTAAGTCAAAGTCTCTGCAGGCTGGATGATGCTGACATGAGCGAACACCTTCTATTAGTGATAAGACTTTAAATTTACGAATCGATATCACACGTCTATGTCTCAAATCGAGCATTTTTCTGAAAAGCAACAATTTCATCAACAGCGTAGAATTACATGGATGTAACAAACGTTTTCTTATTAATCTGTCAAACTAATTGTTTAGACAACAAACCACATATAGAAGAAATTGATCGGATTTAGATCAATTCCCTAATAGTTAGAATAACCTAATAGTTAGAATAATCGCTGGAATATATTTCATGATTCTAATACCTAAGAACATAGATACGCAAAGACAATTTAAACTTACAAACAAATGGTGTTTTAATTACTTACCAAGCAGATTTATGTAATATTTCGAGTATGGACAACCAGTTGGTATCAATTACCAATCAATTCAGAAGCACTACCATCAATGTCGCACTATGCTGTGGCTAGCTGATTTAAGAAACATGCGCGACACTATGAAGCAGTCGATATTATTCCGTATTGGCTAACAACTTGTAACTAGAAAGGCAGAAACCAAAAGTATATATAGAGAGAGAACAGCTCGAAATTACGTATCTGCACATGAGACAGTGACAGACCATTTTCAAAGGCTGCTCTGAAATATGCTGCAGGAGAGATCTTACAAATGGGATTCGATGATGCCACTCTTTGTAGCACGTTCACTTGATCAGTCGATTGGCCAATCTTTTGCCCCTTCTCATTTTTCTCAGTGCAATCATGTAATTCTCAATGTAGCTCGGGCACGGGCTATGTTCAACAGCTACATACAAGAAGATATTGTCTCCAGCTACATATATGCGCTCTATCCAAGTCGAAAATTCTGGCCAGTTCTAGGCAGACACACTGTTACGAGGCTGTCGATTGCTGACAGTGACAGGGGGCAGTGCGCGAGCAATCGTTTCTTACATAATTCCTATGTGTTTACTCATCCGTTGGACCGAACCTTTTGTGTGTGTGTGTGTGTGTGTGTATGTATGCGTGCGTGCGCGTGTGTGTAACATCCATGACACGATGTATAAACATATCTTTACATATTCAGGGTATTCGATTCAATTATATAGCATAAAATAAAAGTAATAATTTCATATTGTACAATACAATATATAATATTGTATACACAGATATATTGTACATAGAATTGAATTTTTACATTATAGGATAGATACAATGAATAAAGAATGCGAAGAAAAGAAAGTGATACCGAGATATTCAGCACAGTACTACTCAACACAGTGTTTGTACAGTGTAAAATAAAATCTCACAAAATTTCATCGAATCTTCGTGTTATACATTCGCTAAGGCTATAATTTTTATAATAAAAATTCTGCTATATCTTCCTGCAAGCGTGTTATTTGTGATTTCTCTTGAATTTTTTCATGTAAAAGGCAGAGTAATAAGTTATACATTTGCTTTGAATTTAAGGCAAACAGTTTACAACCGTAACATAAATGAGCTTCGATTAAATCTGGTCGTATAGATTCTCTATTAAACGAATAATATGTATCGCTGTCGCAGCGATTATGCCTTTTCACCGAACCATTTATTTCTTGTACTTGTCCATTCGTTTGTAAACTAGACGCTGTATTTGTTAGAGGATTTACATTCGTCGATACCAGTTGAGAAAATATTCTGGCCTGAACGACCGAAAGTTGTTCTTGCGAATTAGGACAATTTAGAGCCAATTCGCAAAGTATACAGGTATCGTTAAAGACACGAATGTTATTAACAACATCGGTGTTTCCACGGCTGTTTATATTATGCAGTTTCTCCATCTTTGTTGCCAATTTTTCGCTGGTCCGATATATGGTAGATACAGTACCGTTAAGGTTAGAATCTAATTGTCGAACAAAGTTTCTTGCAACGGTTCTTATAGAAACAGGATACGATCGATTATATATTCGAGAAGCAAAAATAGGAGTCAAGTTATGGCATTCCAAATAGCCTTCTATGTCATCCTGCGTAAAATCTCTGAGCGGTCTAAGCAATGCGACACCGCTGGATCTTGTATCGGAGAAAGAAACATTTTGTGGCACCTGAGAACCTCTTCCCGTCGATATGTCTCCAAGTACTTTTACCGCAAGATCGATCGACGTATCGGCAACAAAAACTTTATTACAGTTCAGCTTACAAGCCGCCGATACAAGTAGTTTTCTTCTCAATTGCATCAATAATTCGTCCTTTGCTGTTTCACTTTCCATGCCACGAAACACTTCTTCCATAAATTCATCGTTGCGAGTCGTGTACGCTTCTGGACTGTCTATCGTCCGGATCTCTTCGCAATGAACATCGCTGGTAGAAGTTGTCAAAGAAGTAACATACATTGCCATTTTCAGATTATCCGCTTCTTTAACCAACGCATTTCGAACACGTTTCCTTTCCTCTAACGAAAACCCTTTAACCATGCCATCTATATAGAGATAAATACATATTATTATATAAATATATATATATATATATATTATTATATAAAATTTGTTATAAATTTAAACATTAATATTACCATCTATGTATAATATTTTACACGTAAATCGCAGTCTTTTAGAAGCCAAATCATTTGCATTATCTTTTATAAGTTGTACAAGTGCTGTTGAATTTGCTTTTCCTGAATGAGCAATAAGTACCGAATCGGTTGGGTGCATTGATTTCGACTTTCCTAAAGTTGCTTTAAATTTATGCATTAACACGGATAAGAAGCATGCTTTACAATACCCACATTTGCTCCTTAATGAAATTTCGATTTCTTTGGATCCACACTTTGCGCAAAATAATTTAATGTTTGTCACACACGTGGGAGCGGTATCGGTACTGAAAGTAGTTATTCTATTATCGTTTTATACGAATGAATTTTATACGAATAAGAAGAAAAACTTGACACTCACGCGTCCTGTACTGTTCGATTCGTTTCAAACGTATCACACTCGATCGAGTTTAATGTACACATTGTTTTTTCTTTCGTTCGACCGTGTTGCGTCAATGTTTTGTTATAATATAGAATAAATTCTACCTTATTAAGGTAGAATTTTTTCCGAAATTTTCGAATCGATAGAGGTTAATAGTATATAGCAGGTTACGAAAACGTACATTAAAACATTCTACTGTGAAAACTGATGCCAGTCCAATCCTCATGTATGCGTACTCTGTTTGTGGAAGAAACGTACAGAAGTTCGAGCTAGTACATATGTACAGTGTGAGATCTCTCGATTCAAGAAACACATTCGAAATAAGTCACACCGGACGAGAAACCACTTTACCGTACTTGCAGTCCTCGCTCTTTTATAGAAAGACCAGAACTTGTTTAAAAAATGGCATTTATACATTGACAGCTCGTTGGGAAAAGTTTATCGAAGCAAGTGGCTCGTATTTCGTGCAAATAAACATCTTTCAGAAAAAGACATGAAGTTATGAAGCCTTGAAAATTATGCTCAAGGACACTTTTGCAGAGAGTATTTTTTAACAGATCTCTCCATTGATCCGATGAGATGTCCGATGAGATGACATAACCTTGACATAACCTGTAATTTCTATTCGATATTCTCGCTAACGGAACGAGTCACGGCCAGAGAGAGAGAGAGAGAGAGAGAGAGAGAGAGGGAGAGAGAGAGAGAGAGAGAGAGAGAGAGAGAGAGAGAGGTTTGCATGTTCTATCGCGGACATAAAATTCGAACAAATAAATTGAGAAGATCACAAAAAGTCAGAAAATCTAATACAAGTTTATTTATTAATTGTTGCGCGGTTTACACAATATGAAAATAACATTTTAACAGTTTATAGTTTTAAGAAAATTTCGCGATTATTCTTACGTAATGCATATGCGCACGTACAAATGTACGTACATACATGTATAGAAAAATGCATACGTATATACATGCCGGAATAGTATCGTGCCACGGAATATCGTGTACACTGTTAACAAAATTTACAATCTAGTATCCGATATATTCGTTAATATGTTTGTGTAAAACGTTCCGTTAAGTTCATCGCTCGTAATTAATTTTGAAGTGTATCGAACATAAGCCTTCATGTTTACGATTAACAGTGGAAAACATACAGGTTATGAATAGATTGTAAACGTAAGTTATACATACATAATAGAAGGACATCTGGTTAAGGTGTCCCCGTCATTGATATTACGAGTAATCGAAAGAATTTCATTGAAATGATAAGTGTCCTACCTGTGGTAAATGCTTTTTCTAGGTAATACTTAATAATGAATAATTAACAAATAATGCTTTCAATTAGTTATCTGATATTTTGACTATCGAAATTACAATGATTCATTGTTGCAGACTATCTATGCGTTCGTTGTCGATCGTTGATCCACGTAATATTTCTACGTGCACGTATCCACTATATTTTCAAGTGACCGATGTACTATCGTAAGTGCTCGAATGGTTTCTATTCAGAAAATTGGTCCGTAAAGCGTTGCTCGTCAATTTCTTTGCATGAATTTCTTTGGCAGGGGTTTACCGATAAAGAAGAAAAGGAAACTGGATCCTGCTATCATTAGAGCCAGAGAAGAGAGGAAGAAAAGAAAGCTGGAAAAGCAAATTAGACGTTTGGAAAAACACGCCAAACAACTGAAACCAATTTTTGAGGTCGAATCATCGATCGAGTTAGCCAAGCAAAAAGAGTAAGGTATCTGTTACAAATATTGCTACTATCTGTTGCTCGCGTAATTTTGTGTCGTTACATGTTTGTTACAGGGAACGGTACCGTACACCGACGACGTTATCTCCCGAAGAATTGGAGAAAAGATCGTTATTGGAAAAGGAATGGACAAGATACAAACAAGATCAGTGGTTGAAGGATACGTACGCTATACAATCTATGATGGTTTCTCAGGAAAGAGCTTTGATAGAATTGAGAATCGTGTCCGAGTATCTTTACGAGAAAGCGATAGAAGTAAACGTCGCTTAAGTATTATAGTATCGAATCGTCGAGAGAAACTGAATTTGATCCTTGTTAGAAATTGCTATAAAATGATT